TAAGTGTGTCTGTATGCGTGTACAGTTGCGCATACCTGTAACAAAATGCACACATGTCTTGTGATACTGTGCATGAGTCTGAATGTGGGGAGAGAGAGAGAGAGAGAGAGAGAGAGAGACCGAGACGGAGGCCGAGACAGAGGCAGAGAGCAGAGACAGAGGCAGAGGCAGAGGCAGAGGCAGGGAGAAGGAGAAGAGACACATTGACTTGAATAAACAAACGGACCTCGTGCTTGCAGGACGCGCGTTGGTCAGAATTTGGTGGTTCAACAGCCATTGATAGCCATTGGCATCATCATAGCCAACCCCATGCCGAAGAGGTGCCAATACCATGAATGCTATACCCCTTCCTGCTTGCCGGAACATAGACCGAGGTTCGACTGGACTTGTCCATGTTCACCCATCTGAAAGAGGCCACGGGATCATCTGCCCATGTGGACTCTTCTTACAGAGAACATGCCCCCGTGGTTGTGTTCAGGCTAAGGTGTCCGGAAAATATATGGGGGTTTCCGACAATAATGGACCTTGATATAGTACCCCAAATAGTAGGATCCTTATTATAAGGACCCCCAAATTAATAAGGTACCCCCTTATTTTCGGAAACTCCCATATAAAGGTCGGGATAGACAGCTATTGTTCGGAGATCAGGCTAACAGGTCCAGGTCACGTAGCAAAACACTTTTCAACTTGTTCCTGAGCAAGTTCGGTTTATTGCATCGGACAACAGGGTTGTAGGGGCCTAAACAATAACCTATACCATGTTGGGGGGTTCCTTACTATGATTATAGTATAATGGGCCCCAAAACCCTATTCTAACTATTAAGGCACCTAAACCCTAAACCCTTATAGTAGCCCTTATTGAAGCCTTTAAAGGTTCCCCGAAGCCCTATTCTAATTATTCATGCCCTTACATTAGCTGTTCGGCCTCAGGCCTGTGCTGTTCGACACTGCAGCGGCTAAGTGTGAGTCGGTTCGCAGACAGTTTGTGCATGCGATGTAGGGGCCTTAAGATAGAATAGGATTTGGGGGTATATTCTACTATTACTATAATAAGGGGCCCCAAAACCCTGTTCTAATTATTAAGGCCCCTACAGATGTGTCGACTGGATCTCGGACAGGGAGCGCAGTGGCAAGGCAATTTTATGACCATTGAGGCGGAAATTTAGCCCTTTTCTGCCCATAAAAACCTCGACGTCCTGTTATCATGAACAAACATTCCCTCCACCAGTTGCTGCTGTGGGCTGAGTCGGGAGAAGGCCAACTGAGTCTGGAACCGTGCCTCGGTGGCCTTAAGGGGGGATCAGGGCTCTGATCGGGCATCTTCCCGAGGTCCGGAAGCTCCCGTCATGTCACGATAGCTCCGTTCGGCGCATACGTCGTCTGGCCAGGAAGCCTGTTATGTTCAGTTTGTATGTTGTGATGTTAAACACACTTTGAGACCAAGCTAACGGGTGATTTGGGGGTTGTCCTAGCCTGGTAGAGAATGCAAGGATGGACTTGACGGACCACGTAAAGGTGCTTAGCCTGCACATGATGTCAGCTGTGGGCTGGATGGGCAGTTGTACGTATTATGTGCAAATAAACTGCAGATGTCGCAAATGTGCAGATTCTGAGTTGATATGAATGATTACAGACACGACTACTATGATGTTTCAAATGATTGGCATCCTTGTTGTTCGTTGATCTGTGTGAGGATTCCTGTGCTCACAATCTACATACTGTATGTGCTCACGAACGGGGTCACATCCATTTGTCAGAACGTGGGTCCATGTGTGTGAGTGCATGTAAGTGTTCACTGTTCACACGTCTAAGTTCTCGTGCACGATTGTTTTCTCGATCATGTGGATGCTTGCTCTACATATACAGTTGTCGACGCGTAGTAGCCGAGTGAATACACCTTACTTGTTGGGACGTATGAACTCAGTAACTACTGACATGCATTCGGTAGGAGGTGTCAATCCCGCCGCCCGATCTCAGAAGCGGCTCCGCCACCTTGCTCCTGATACTTCCGCCGGCTTGCGTCTTGACCGGTTTAGATTTTTTTTAGGGTTACGGTGTGGGTGAAGATTCTTCTTTAGATGGCTTAGACTTAGAGTGGCATGTTTTGGTGGTTTGTACTGTGATGACCACAAGAGACACTTCGAAATTGCCATGGTAATTTCGGCATCTTATTCCCCAGCCGTGCTATGCTTTGGGCAGGGCACGAGCATTGGTTCTCTTGTGCCCATGTTTGTCGTCTAGCCCTTTCTTATGCTTTCTTCTTATCAGAGTGCAGTTCGCCGGTTTCGGTCACCGTTGTGCCATTGATCATTCCTACGAAAGTAGCTATTGCTCGGCCGGTATCATCGTGAACGTCAGTCTTGCCGTGTCTTGCCAATGTGACTGCATGGCACGGAGTACGCACGGGGACTGCTAGGCTTTGTGTCGTTTCTGCTCCCTTGTTCGATCCCTTGAAGGGCTTGGTTCACGGCAGTTTCCGATTTTAGCATTCTGACATTCTGACGGTTGATTTAGTTCTTCACCTGTCTGCCCAACTTGTACTTGGCTAGGTCGTACTACGCTGCAACCGGTCCCCCAAATCAAGCATGCCAAAGCCATCGCCCCAAATCCTGCACTTAGTGAAGCAGTATGTCCGACCAAAGGCTCGGGTATGTTACATGTTTAGACAAGAGGGCTGAAGCTCCTGACCGGACCAGAAATTTCTTTGAAACGTCTCTGCAGGCCAGATGCAGGACCTTGCTGGGGTACCTATAGTGGAAAGTCCAGAAAGCTATCTGGTTTTGTTGCAGAGTTTCAAGCTTCGTGAGTCGCAGGTGCTTGGGTTCACAAGAACGGTGTGTGCATTTAGTCTTGTCGAGATGAGAAGTCGACACAGCTTGGTGAACTCACCAATGCTTGTTCTTCGAGGGCGGTGTCTCGTGCAGCACGTCGTGAGGGACCGCAAGGCATATTTGGAGTAATGTGTTGCTTATTGAGTTTATTGTGCGTTAAGCTCCGTTCTATGCAGTTTTTTCACTGCAACGTGTTACGTTACTCTACGGCCTGTTTCAAGTTAAGTTTTATTGCAGTGTACTGCACTTTTTGGATACTCTCCTACCGTACCACATTCTTTATTCTCAACTTTGTACTACGAAAGTACGTATTCTGCATCAAATCTCCTATGAACATGCTGTGACAGCTCTTGTCGTGTTATGTCATAGGTCCCTAAGCCCTAAACCCTAAACCCTAAACCCTAACGCTATCAGCCTAAGTCAACAAGTGTGTACATGATGCGCCCACGTTCCGACTCCTGAAGCTGGACGCCTTCCTAGGGTTTAGGGTTTAGGGCTCAAGCGGATGACAACGAGCTCTGAAAATTTTCCCCTGCCAGGATGTGCTCTTGCATGTCGGTCCGAAACTTCTCGACCTCAGAAGCAGCGGCACACAAGACCCTTGGCTAGCTGCACGAGGCTTTGTTCGGGTAGGCCAGGGAGGCGTGAGTGGGATATATATCATCGTTGAGATGTTCATCGCGTGAGTCATTTTGTCACTCCCAATGACGGCTGCAGAATCGCTTAGGCCAGCTCATGCGAGTAATTTTCTTGGCTCGTAAGTATGGAGTGGACTTTTTAATTATGTCCCATGAAGACTTGGGATCTGCTTTCGGAGATCTTATACCAAGGTTTCAACTAGGGTCGATCGTATTCTCTCGGGCCCTGGCAGGAGGTTCAACTAGACTTGCACCAGGAATAGCATAGATGCTTTATCATACTTGGAGGTTCATGGCTAGTTATAAGTAGGGTAACTATAATTATAACCCCTATTAGGGGACTTATAACCCCACTTATAACTGCCCATGAACCTCCAAGTAGGTTCCCTCCGAGCAGAAACTCGCTCTCATTTCCGTGTCTCGTCGCACTCTAACCTGCGCGGTGCATCCTGAAGCCTTCCGCTGTGTCGCGGTAAATACATGTTTAGGGCTTGGGGTTTAGGGTTTAGGGTTCAGGGTTTGATTGGTATGAAGTCTCGGAATCCATCAGGCGGAGTCCTTGGCAGGCTATAGTCAGGGCTCTAACCGGTTGTGAGGGTCACTTTTCGGCGTCTGCGGAATTCTGGAAATCTCAAGGAATACATCATCGTGCGGGCAGCTGCAATAGCCACCTGGCCAAACGCATTGTCCCGAGGACAACACAGGCCGGTGGCCTCTAAACGAAGTCTTACTTGTAGTGCTCTTTGCCCCAACTTCGATTGTGAACGGTTGGCTGCTCAACGATCCGTGCAGTCGGGACCAGTGATTCCCGCGTGGTCTGCGTGAATGTAGGCCTGAAGGGTTCCCAAAATTCAGGCTTCGGGGTGGCAGATTTGTGAGGGAAGGCGTTTGCAACTGCGTTTGGAGGCATTTTTGTTTGAGTGGTGCGTTTGGAGTTTGGGCTCCGGGTTTCAGGCTGCAGCCGCGATCTCAGGCTTGAGGTGCGGTATTTCAGCCAAGTTCGAATTCAGGGTGTCAGGTGTCAAGCACACAGGATGGATTGCTGTCCGGGGAGAATGAGTGGTTGAGAGGCCTCGAGTTTCTTCTGCCCTGCCCCCCCCCGAACTAAACCCTACAGAGTAGACGCTTGGTTTTAATTCCTCCGGCCCAAACTCAAAAAGCCAAGGAGGTACTGCCAGGGGCTTTTGAATCCCACCGGCTGCATCATAATCTCTCCAGGCCTGCCTGGCGATGTTTCGCTTGGGGGAATTGCCGTCATGTCGGTGTCTGAATAAGTAACTTGGAACAATCATGTTCCCTTAAAGCCCCTACTGCAAGTCCAGTAGACTCTACCCCCAATCCCCATTCTAGTAGCTTACACTGCTGACAGCCACAAGCTATAGTCCCGGACAAAGAATCATATGTGCTGGACAAGCATGGCTGGCTCGGACACGAAGCAAACAGACAGAGGATCGGCTGGTTCCTGGATGGCCCAAAAGCAGCTGTAGTTTCTAGCAGGAGCAGCGATGTTGAGAGATGCACAGCACTGATGATGGTGACGATGAACATGCCGGTGACGGCACATGATGACAATGATGAAGGACTGCTTGTGATAACTGTGAAGAGGATGATGTTGCTGATGTCTTGGGCCCCCAGTTCCAGGACCTCAACCCTAAAAACGTCAGCGCAGGTGGATTCCGCCTCATCCTGGCGGCAAGGCTTATCCAGAGGCCCGAGCTCTAAGCCCAAGTCCAGAATCCTTGCGGTCAGCCACGAATCGCACTTGAAGGGGCCTGCACTATTCCAGCCGGCACTGCCCGCATGGTCTAGGGTAAATAGGGGTTTAGGGTTTAAGGGTTTCGGGTTTAGGGTTTAGGGGAGTCTAAGGTTCGGGAGTTTCAAGCAGTAGCGCGGGGACGGGAGTTTGCTCAGCGGAACAATTCCTGACATGAGCCAGGAGCCAGTTTCGGGCTTCGGTGAGGAGTGCGAGCGTGCGACGGTCGGGCCGACCGACGACAATGCAGGCCTCCGTTGGGAGTATAATATGCGGCCATATCGCAATCAGGAAGTCGAGTTTTAGAGGATTTCCTGGGTTTTAAGATCAGAAGCCTAGCAATTGGAGCCAGGTTTTGATGTAGGTTGTTAACTACGAGGGATTACCAACCATTGTAATTAGGCCCTATACTACACCTACGATTTAGGCCTAGGCTTCTTTCTCTCAGGGTCAGGGTGTCGGATTTGGGAGGTAGACGGGGGGCAGGCAATCACAAGCCACGTTCACGCCTCTTCGGGCTTGCGTGGTCTGGGTGGAGTGAGAGGCTGTGGCCAGTAAGCAAGAGCTGAACATGCGGCAGAACAGCCCTTAGACAAAAAGTGGGGTAGTCAGGGTTCCACGGCGCGGCTTCCTGCTAGTTTGCCAACTCCAGGGATCTATCCATTCCGCACAGTGTTGATACACACAGTTGATCGGTTGTGCGTGGCAGAAGATACATATATATATATATGTATATGTATATGTATATGTATATGTATATGTATATGTAGATGTATGTATGTATATATATATATAATATACACATAATTTTTTGATTGCATAGCAAAAATTACGGGTTGCGGATAGCAAGGTACTGGTCAACCCCCAAACCCTCAACCATGGCAAAGCGGTAGCAAGGCCCCTACATTACACCTACAGTAACAAACATGTTTTGACGCCGACTTAGGCCTCGCCTGTGCCTATGGTCAACTGCCCTCTTGCGAAGACTATGTCAGACTATGTTCTACTTGCAACATTTGCGGTAATCCGCAGAACTCTATTTGTTTGGGTTAGCCTAAAATGTTGGCGGACATCCAGCCCCAGAATATCGCAAGCCTTGAAGCCTTCCGTCAAGATGTCATTTGGAGGTGCTCAGTTCCACAAAATGTTCGGCCGCGTGCTGTGCAGCCCGTCGATTTATTCGAATCCCGAGGAGCTTTAGACTCGCTGTTGTTGTGTGATGAACGGCTTCGAGGAATTGGTTCGGGTTGAACGCCAAACTGAGCATGTAGTGTTTTATTGGTCAGGGTTGCTACCCGCTGTTGCAGCGGATAGCTTCCACTTTCACTCTTGAGACGTGGGTGCCATGTGTGCCCGCCTCGAGTTTGGGTACTTTGTCGGTGCACTATGGTGCTTTCGCTCGAGCGAAGAAAGTACTGCAGCTCCAGCCAGTTTGAGCATTGTGTCCCAGTGGTAATGATCTCAATCGCGAGTCTTGCCATCGGAACAACCGTAGAAATAGCACTTGTTCTTAGACAGCAATAGTCAGCATCACTCTCAGCAACAGCTGTTGTTTGTCGGAGCAGATGTCTGACCATACTTATATTAGCAAAAGCTTAAAACAATCCTTAGTACTTAGTACACTGACAGAACGTGCAAAAAGGCAGAACTGGCAGTTTCAAACAGCACCCTAAACCCTAAACCTTAACCCTATTTCTTTCCGAAGGACTTCAGAGGCGATGCCCAGGGCCTGAAGATCTTTGTTCATTCGCTTCCCGGCGTAGGAAGACATTTGTGGCGATGGGTTTAGGGCTTACTTAGTGGAGTTGTGGATTTAGGGCTTCTGGGGGGGTGCAGTGGGTGCCGTGTTCCTTTTTCCTCCACGACTGGTTCAGAGGTGTGTGTGTGTGTGGGAGCAAGGGAAACGGGCTTCCGTGGCCCTCGTGTCGGTACCAGTAACGCTAATAGTCAATGGCAACTGAGTGATAGATCGGATGAGGTAGCAGAAGAAGTAGTAGTAGTAGTAGTAGTCGTCGTGGTGGTGGTGGTCGTCGCAGTAGTAGATGATCATGGTAGGTAATAGTGGATAGTAAATAGTTGATAGTGGTTACTACATGGTGGATCGCAGATGTTGGATAGCAGAATCGGTCAGAAGTTGAAGTAGAAGTAGTAGGTTCATTTCTAAATCCCATGTTGCCTACTTCACCGTGTGTTTGCAGTAGGCACTCAGGACTCCTAAGCCCTAAACCCCCTAAACCTCCCAAGGCGCCAGACAAGCGAACAAACCTCGTCCGCTCTAGGATGCCAGCTGGCCTGACCTCAGACCGCCCCACGGGCAGCACATGGTGCAAGGCTTTTGGTATTTGGGGTTGGTTTGGGTTAACAAGTTAAGGGGTTCATTACAGGTTGGAGGGAGTGAGGACCACCCTAAATTCTCTAACTTCGGGCCTCACATGATGCCCCTAGCTGGTAGCAGAAGCTCGTACTTGTGGTCGTAATTAGAGTGCCAGTCGTCTTTTCATTGTTGGAACGCATTTCTGCTTTCAGTCAGTCGAGCAACTCTCCCTTCCCCCCCTCCGCCAAGCGATTACCACAAGAAAAAGGTTGCTGAAGAGGTGAGAACATACAGAATCCGATTTGGGTTTCAGCTATCTCAAATCAGAATTGGAAGTATTGAGTCTTATTTAAGGTTCGGGACCCGTCAACTGCTGTCGAGGAGGCGGCACTGTAGCCCTACTGAATGTTGATGGACAAAATTCTGCATGACCCAAATATAGTATAGTACCATAAATCCCATCGTT